ACCCCATCTGGGATGCCTAGGCGTGCTGGCCTCCAGCGCGCCCGTCTTCAGGGAAGGAGGCCGCACCGGGCTCCGCCAAGGTGGAAACGCACGCGCGCGGAGAGAACGCCACGTCTTTCGGATTCCCTGGCTTGTTCAAGGCATGGCACCGCGGACTGGCTTTTGAATTCAAAGCCAGTTTTTGAATTCAAAAATTGGTTCTCGAATTCAAAAAAACTGGATTATGAATTCAGCAAAACTGATTCAAAGGCCGGTCTCTTGGATTCAAAAACCATCCCCCCCCGGGCAGGCACAGCACTTGAGAGGACTGGGGGGGAAACAAAAACACGGATACACTTGTCCCGCGGCTGTGGAGGGGGTCTCGTTGACGTTCTCGGGGCTGCCTGGATCCTCCTGCACCGCCTCGCCGCACTCGCGCGCGCCATCTCCGACTCTGATGAATAGATCGCGCTCAGCTATCGTGTGGGGTAGCCCAGGGTCGAGGACGGCGAGAAGGTCTGGTTCAAGAAGGGTGGTTTCGACGGCTGCTGGGGCGCCTCAGGTCGTGCTGGAGTGCCTAAGGTCGGGCTGGGAGGACCTCGAGTCCAACGAAACCAACCTTGTCCAACGAACCCTTCTGGCAACCTCCGACAGGGGAAGCGACCCGCCAGGACAAGTCACTACCCAACAAAATCCGGAACGGCGAGCAATACTGGGCAAACAAGACGGGCGCCGATCCCCACACCTGATTGCCAAGCCCGAACTTTTTTTTGGAGGGGGCACGTGCACTCTCAAAGACCTCCTGCGGCTATTGTAGAGATGAAGACGTCGGGCTCCGATCTTGCCTCCCGCATCTCGCTGAGCAGCGCCAGAGCCCGCTGCCACTGCTCGCTTCTGTAGCACGCGCTGATACCGGCATTGTAGCTGACTTGTGTGCTCCCGTGGGGGAGATCTGCAAGCGATTTTGCTCACAGAAGCTGGCTCAGACACGTGACATCACCACGATGGACTTGAGGTCTTTCTTGGGGCGTGCTTGGCTTGGTGAGGGTGTCCTGTGGGGCCGTGGGCCTTGAGACCCCTACTGCATACTAGGCGCCACTTGGAATGACTGTGGAACTGCCCACAGCCGTCGAAATGCGTTGCTGCCTGCTGCTGTTGCCCGCTGCGGACGTTACTGACCACTACCGCTGCTGCCCATTGAATAGAATTGCCGCTGCGTGCTGCTTGCTTGCTTGCTTGCTTGCTTGCTTGCTTGCTTGCTTGCTTGCTTGCTTGCTTGCTTGCTTGCTTGCCGCTTCTGGCTGCTCCTGGGTGCCGCTGCTGGATCTGCACGTCTAGAACCTCTTGGGCCGTCTATGGGCGTGGCGAGGCCCTCTTAGAGCTTGTTGAGCCAGAAGAGTAGCCCTCGGACTGTCTCGGGGCCGTCTGAAGATCCGTTGGGCTCACGTGGCGCCAAACGGGGGCATTTGGGGATCTCTTGGGGTGCTTCTGGGGGCTCCTGGGAGCAACTTTGAGCGCGGTGGAGCCTGCCAAGGCCGTATTGGAGATCATGTGGTAGTGTAGGGGCGTCCTGGGATAATTGCCGGTGGTCCTGCACCGTTTTGGGCCCATGTTGGGGCCATCTCGGAGGCCACTCAGGGCCACCTGAATCTCTCTTGAGGGCGCGTGGGGCTCTCTTGGAGGGGGGCCGCGTCCCGTGCCTTCATGAAGAAGCCCTGACGCGGAGCGCTGCACGAGTGCTGGGCAGCCTCAGCGCACCTGGCCTCTGGGAGCTCTGGCCGCAGCTACCCTGGTGCGCCTTGAGGCCACTCGAGGGCCCAGCGGACATTGCAAGCGGCAGGGCAAGTTTAATCCGTTTCCAAAGATCTAGCCCTTGATTCTGGAAACGGCTGGCTCACTCGAGGGCTTAGAGGACATTGAGACGGCAGGGCAAATCTAAACCGTTTCCAAACATGTGGCCCTTGATTATGGAAGCAGCTGGCTCTTCGCTGTGAGAATGGTATACGTGAGCAAACGGCTCACCGAAGCGGAACGGAGAACGGCGCCCGAATCGGAACTGGAACCAGAAATAACAAGAGCGACGGCACCGCTCAGAGGGAGGCAGAGGATAACGAGACCGAATTAGGGAGAAGAACGGGGACCCGAAGAAGCGAGGAGGGAGGAGGCCACAGAGCAGCGAGGATCACCGAATGCAGATACCCCCGGATCGGCGGCGCTGGCTGGAGGCCATTCACAACAACAAGAGCGACGGCACCACACACAGACGCGACGGAACTGGAAAGAAAATTGAAAAACTGACAAACTTGAAGGGGCCCTGGGACACACAAATAAATACACACGAATAAAAGGATTCCCCATATTTTCATATATATTTTCTGAGTTTCTGTCTTCCCCCACACTTCCCATATTTTCCCATATTCTCCTGGGAGTGGACGATTAATTGTGTCTGTGTGTTTTTTCCCCTCCTGAAAACTGCCCTGCCGCTGCCGAGGCGCACCACGGTCGGGAACCCCCTTGCTCGGCGTGCCGCGGCGGCAGCCCCGACGGCCCCCTGTGCGCGGCGAGTGGATCTCGCGTCGCTCCGCGCTCCGGGGCGGGAAGCTGGGAAAGGCTCGGGGCACTTTACCAGCCTCGAACGTATCTCTATCCCTGAGATTGACACGCCAAAAAGCGACGACGATCTTAGGGATCCGCTCTCAAAACATAAGGAAATCCCTAAGATTGGCATCGTGATGAGGAGGTGCCCAGCATAGGGATAGGGAAATGGGGAAGGCTCGGGGCTTCCTGGAGCCATGGGGGACCGGAAGGCGGATAGTAACCAGCCTCGAACGTATCCCTATCCCTAAGATGGGCGAGCCAAAAGCGAGGACAATCTTAGGGATGGGCCCTCAGAAACTGAGGGAATCCTTAAGATCGGCATCGAGGTGAGGTGATGTCAAACATAGGGGTAGGGATATGTTTCAAACTGGTAAGATAGCGTGTCACGCCAGAGCGTGGTGGGCCGGAATCGGCGGAGCGACATGCGGAGCCACACTTCTCGACTGGGGGCGTCCCCCGGGGCTTCCTGGCCCGTCCGGGACGCCGGGCGCCGCCGGGGAGCCCCGCGGGGCTCCCGCAGGGCTGTCCCGGGCCGGTGTCCGGTGGCCTCGTCGCAGACGCCGGGCCAGGGCACGGTGCGGGCGCTGGACAAGGAATCGAGTGGGATAAGGAACCCAGGTTCTGAAAACCTGGTGGTGGAGTACCAGTTGAGGGCCGGCCATGGATATCACCGCCGCCCTCACCAGAGAAGGCTTCCTCCAGGGTCTGAGGCCTCAATGGCATTCCCCAACGAACGTTCCCGCCGAAATACAGACTTGGCGGCGCGCCGAGGGGGGTAAGGCTTCTTAGAAGGAGGCTGCTTCTAAGAGGCCTTTCCCCCCTCCCCCTACCCCCCTCTGCGCGTGGCTGACAGACGACGTCGGGCTTCAGCTTCGCCTCACGCATCTCGCTCAGCAGCGACAAAGCCCGCTGCCACTGCTCACCCTTCTCGCACGCGCTCATCCCAGCGCAGTAGCTGAACAAGGGCTGACCCGTGGCTTACCAGCCACGTCAACCGTCGTGTCCAGCGTGTCCAGCGTGTGCTTGCTGCTGTCTGTCTATAGAGGCTGCATGCTGCTAGTTCTGCTGGCGAACAGTTTGCCTGCTTGTATTGGCCTGTTGCTTGATTGCTGCTTGCTGCTGGCTTTCCGCTTCCGTGCTTGCTTGCTCGCTCGCTTGCTCGCGTTCTGGCTTGCTGCCTGCTGCTGATGCCTGCTGCCGAAAACTGCAAGTGGGGGCTCCTGGGGTGAACCTGGGCCTTCTCCTGCCTCCTCTGACGAACCAACAACACACACCCATACCCATAGGGGGATCGGAGAGGGCTATGGGTGCGTGTTGTCGGATGGGGGTCCCCGCTCGAGCGGGAGCGTTCCCCAGGGTCCGACAGCCCGCACCCATACCCATAGCCAGTCCTCATCCCAACGACCTCCCTATGGGTATGGGTGTGTGTTGTTCGTTCGTCATCTGGGGCTTCTTCGGGTGTCCTCGGAGCCTGGCTGGGCCCTTCGGGGGGGGGGTCAGGAGGCTGCTGGGGGCAGCGTCCTGGGCCGCCTCCGGGCCGGGCCGAGGCGGGACATCGAGCAGCGCACGTGCGCGTTCCTCTCCCAGCGAGGTCCCCTCGTGGCCGTGCCCGTCCGAGAGGAGGCGTCGAGGAGAGGCGCGCGGGCCGCGCAGGCTCGGACGAGGGAGAGAAGGCACTGCGGCGAGCACGGCCTCGCACGGGGAGAGCTCCCCGACGGGTCGCCCGGTCACGCCGGAGCCGCTCCAGCGGAGGGGGGAAGTAAGCAGCGCAGGGGTGTCGAATTCTCCCTGGGCGGCTGTGGCGCGATCCCAAAGCTCTCCAAGGGATCTTCCGTCGAAGGCCTCTTGGGGGCGTTTTTGGGAGGTGTCTTGCTAGCTCTCGTGGGCCATCCTGAGGCCCGATTTGGGCGTATCGGGGGCCTCCTGGGGCTTCTGGGCGGCCCCTTGGGGGCCTGCTGGCGGTCTCGGGGGTCAATCTTGGGACGGAGGGGGCGCGGAATGTCAGGTCGAGTTTCCCCCCCTTGGGGGACCTCTTGGGAGCCCCTTGGGCGGTCTTGGGGTCTCCTTGGGCCGTCTGGGGGCCCTCTTGGGGGCTCGTTGGGCAGGAGGAGGAGGAGGAGGAGGAGGAGGAGGAGGAGGAGGAGGAGGGGGAGGAGGAGGGAGGAGGAGGCGGAGGAGGAGGAGGGAGGAGGAGGAGGCGGAGGAGGAGGAGGAGGAGGAGGAGGAGGAGGAGGAGGAGGAGGGGCCGTCTGGGGGCCCTCCTGGGGGCCCGCTGGGCCGCCTGGAGCGATTGCTCGGTGGCCTCGCGGGCCGTCTCGGAGCGCCCGCCGGAGGCCCGACGAGGCGAGGACGTCAAGAGGACGTCCTGCTCCTCCTCCTCCTCCTCCTCCTCCTCCTCCTCCTCCTCCTCCTCCTCCTCCTCCTCCTCCTCCTCCCTCCTCCCTCCTCCCTCCTCCAGCTCCTCCTCCTCCTCCTCCTCCTGGCCTTTCGTCCTCCTCCTCCTCCTCCGACTTACAAAAAACCGATGGACAACGACTGGCCTGGCTGGGTAGTCGAAGCCAATCTGGCAGGCCCAATCTGGCAAACGGGGGCAATCTGGCGAGGGAGCCAACGCGAATCCAGTCCGGCGAATAACCCAGTCGGGCGAATAGGCCAAATCATCCAGCTTGGCCGGGCCAGATTGGCCCTTGGGGCCCAATCCAACCTGACAGTCTGGCCTTTCGACTACCCAGCTTGGGACCCTCGGGGCCCTTTCGGGGGGGGCCTCTTGGAGCCCTCCAGGGCGGACCGCCGCAGGACGCACCACGGGAAATACCCAGAGTTTAGCGTGCGGTCGCACGTGGACGAGGTTTCGCCCACGCACACCTCGAGGCGCCTCGAACCTACTTTGACAGAGGGAGAACAACGGCATAAAACCTCCTCCCTAGCGCGCGGAGCGCGCCAGGGGCGGCGACGGAGGCGCCGCCAGGGGGGTCCAGCGCGGATCCAAGAAATCCGCGCGGACCGTCCAAAGCTTATGTTCATGCAGTTTTTGTGAAGGGGCTGCCGTGGAAGCCTTCTGCTTGACCCAAAAGGGGGTCCAGCTACAAGGGGCTGGTCCAATAGATGTTGGGCTATTCTACTGCAAATGTACTGCGCTGGAGAGTTGTATTGCATTGCGCTGCAATTAGTCTGTTGCAGCCGGATTTCAAGCAATACATTTGCCCATCGGAGTGTATTGCCCGCCCCAAATCTATTGCAAACCTACAAACCTATTGCACCCCCCTCTTCTCGCTGGACCCCATTTGGGGTCAACCAGAAGCCTCCTGGCCAGTCTTCGGGCGCTCCGGGGCAATCCCGTGGGGGCCTTTCGGGCCACCGTGGAGCCGTTGCCCGCCGGGTCCGTCCTGGAGGCTCCTGCCCTCCATGGGTCTCCCTTGACCCTTCTCACCCGCATTTGCTCCAATTCGGCGGCGCGCTTGGGGGAGAAGTCCTGGGACGCTCCAACCTCGTCCATCCTCCTCCTCCCCAGATCTGCGACCACTCGCGAACCCTCGCGGGTCCAATCGACGCTGGGGTTTCGGGCAACCCCACAGGGTTTCACCCACCCTTCGAATTCTGAACCCCAGCCTCCGTTTCAGAACTCTGACCTGCAATGGCAGGGTTCGCATGCGTGGCTTCTCAGAAAGGCAGAAAGGCTCTGGCCTTCTTAAAGGTTTTTGGCGCCTGCGGTCAAAAGGCTCAGAAAACTGCTCTGAAGGCTTGGAGACTTCCGAGCCTTCTTAGAAGGCCAGCCCCATCTCACTTCCCCCACGGTCTCGCCGACAACTAAAAACCCCAACGGGTCTTTAATACCTTCCGCAATAGTGGGCAAATGATTACTCGCCCCAGGGGCCATTTGAAGGTTGCCGACACCCAGCAATAACAGGCAAATAATGATTCCTCCGCCGCCTTCGCCGCCAGCGCTGTCGTCGTCGTCGTCGTCATCGCCGTCGTTGTCGCAGTGGTCGTCCGTCGCCGGCGCCGTCGTCCGTCGACGAGCGCTACTACGACTCTGCGAAAAACGACTCGAGGGGAAGGGTACGGTCCCGTACGACCAAACCTTCTACGACCAGGCACGGGATTCCTCCATCGTACAGAGCAGCCAAGGGGATGATATCCTCCAGGGCCAATGGCCGCCCAACAAAAGCCAGCACGGCGAACAATACTGAGTAAATGAGTCCGCCGCGAACCTTAGATTTACTTGCCAAGCCAAAACGTTTGGGGAGGCACGTGCAAAACTAACGACCTCCTGCGGCGATAGTAGAGATGAAGACGTCGGGCTCCGATTCTGCCTTACGCATCTCGCTGAGCAGCGCCAGCGCCCGCTGCCACTGATTGCTCCTGTGGCACGCGCTGATCCCAGCGTTGTAGCTGATGACAGTAGGCTCCAACTTCGTCTCGACCATCTCCCTGAGCAGAAGCAGGGCCTGCTGCCACTGCTGACCTTTCTCGCAAGCGCTGATCCCAACACTGTAGCTGACCAGTGTGTAACCGTGGGGCACATTTGCAAGCGATTCGGCTGAGGAGCCTTGAGGATCTGCATCGGCGTCGCCAGCCTCACGGGGGCCTCCTGTGCCGTGGTGGGGCCCTCTTGGGGTCGTTTGGGGGGCCTTTCGAGCCATTGTGGGACATCTTCGAGACCGCAGGGGCCGTCTCGAGCCGATGGAGGCGCGAGAAGGCAAGAACGCTGAAATCCTTCGAAGACCCTTTTGAAAACATGAGATGTGGGTCTCCTCGGGCTCTTCGATCGGCTTGGAGGCCTCTGAGGCTGTCTTAGGACAATACTGTGCGAGGCGGAAATTCATCCATATCCAACGCCTGGGAACCGACGTCCTGGCTCCCCCGGGCGGTGGATATGGATATATGTTGGCCCCTGGGGGCCCGAATATATCCATATCCACCGCCTGTGAAGTCCGCAAGGATCGAACCCCCAGGCGGTGGTTCTGGATAAATGCCTGCCTCGGATATTTGGCCCGCAGGCTGCTAGTCAAGAAATGGGCTCCGGTGCTGTTCCTCTCTCAAGAAACCCGCCCACCCGCCCTTGAGCCAAAATGGCTACGGAGGAGGAGGAGTAAAATGGCGAGGAGGAGGAGGAGGAGGAGGAGGAGGAGGAGGAGGAGGAGGAGGAGGAGAAGGAGGAGGAGGAGGAGGAGGAGAAGGAGGAGGAGGAAGAGTAGGAGTAGGAGTAGGAGTAGGAGGAGGAGGAGGAGGAAGAGGAGGAGGAGGAGGAGGAGGAGGAGGAGGAGGAGTGTCTTGGGGCTCTGTTGGGCCAGGGCAGCGGCGCCCGTCCAACGGAGCCCCCGCGGCCCAGCAAAGGCCAATGGACCCTTCTGGCACACAGAATGCCCGGCGTTGCATCACGGCGAAGGCATTGGACAAGGAATTATTTTATCAGGTAGCTTAGAGGGCCGATTCACGATGTTTGAACTCGCTGGCCAGTGATCAAGCTAGACACTCAGCTCTACTCGCAATCGCCCCGCTGTCACGCCCGAGAAACGTGGTCCCTGAAACGGGTAAAACAGCCCGCCCCCCGACGGACCGAGCACGGGATTTCCGCGGTCACCCCCTCAGTCGAGGCGCCGCCTGAAACCGAAACTCTCTAGAGAACTCTGACCTTCCCCGCCCCCCCTCCTCCTGCTACTCGGGGCGCTGGCGGGACGCCTCGGCGCCGCATCTACTGCAGCATGTCGGCGTACGCCCCGAGCTCCTCCTCCAAATACCCTGCGGGCGCCTGGCCCATCGTCGTCGCGGCTCCTATCTGCTCCATGCTCGACTTCATCAGCTTCCTCAGGTTGTAGTCGGGAACGGCCAGCACAATCTTCGCCTTGGCGTCGTCGAAGCATTTCTCGAGGCGGCACACGTGGCACATCTGAATCAAGTCCCGTGGGTCGCGCTCCCTCATCTGCTCCATGAGGGCCTCCAGGTACTTGCGGTTCTGGGCCCCCGCCTCCTCCTCCATCAACTGCTTCACCATGTACAAGAACACCGTCCCCGATGGGGGGGCGAGGTTGCGGCCCTTCCCCTTCTCCTTCACCGCGGCCGCGTAAGCGGCTCCTCCGTTCTGCATGGCTAAGACGACTTGGGCCATGACCTCCAGGAGGTACGTATCGCACAACTGCCCCCAGATCTCTCGGAGCTGCTTCGTGTTGATGATGAGCTGCTTCAGCATGGTCATCAGCATCGCTTTCATGCCCGCGCCCGCGACATTCATCTCTTTCGGCTGCTCCTTGTTGCGGCGGCGGGCGCGGCGCTGCGGGCGGCTGACCTTGCGGCCCTTGCCGGCTGGGCCCCCCCGCGGCCCCGCCTCGCCCCTCCCGCAAGTCCTGCGCCTGGGGGGGGGGGGGGGGGCAAGCGGGGGTCGCCATCTCGAACCGCGACTCGTAGCTCCCCCGTTGGTGGCACAGGAATGCGCGCGAAGAGGTGGCGCTCAAGCTTCGCAAAGGTCTCGAACTCAACAGCTACGGAACATACAGGACACGTTCGATCAGGCGGCTCGATACACTCACATGGGAATCGCGCTCTGGTCGCGTAGCATCTAGAGTGACTCCAGGAGTCTTCGAAGTGCATATATGTCTCGTGCGTCGTCCTGAACGCCGTCGAGCATATCAAACACCGGTTCGATCGCGTAAGTCAATATAGAACATGGGGTCGTCCGTGCTCACCTTTCAGCTGCAGCGCGCTGATGTGCCTTCAGGCCCTTTCGCGTTCTAGCTCGACGTTGGCACGCGGCTCCTCCCTCCGTCTTTAACCCGCAGACGTAATCGCCAAGACCCTCGCCCCCAATAGGAGCAGCAGGCGGCGGCATCAGCGGTGCAGTAGATGGCGGTGGGATGGCGGCGCTCGGGAACTTCTTCAGCACGCGTCCCTCGCCGATGTTACTCAGGGCCTGGAGGGCGTTATCCTGGAAAAAGCGCGGCAACCTTGCGGTCCTTTCAAAGCTCGTTGAACTCTCCCGCCTCCTCGTCCTCCGCCAAATCCTGGAGATCCTGCTGAGCCAAAAAACTGACGGGCCCAGGGATTCGCTTTCGGGTTCACGTTGATTTTGCCGTCCACGAACGTTGGCGGGGCGACGGGCAATCCAAGTTCACCTAAGCCATTGGCTCGATCGCGTTCATGCTCCAACCTACATCTGCCCAGGGGCGTAGCCCGCCACGGTCGAGACTGTTGCCGAAATCGCAGAGCATGTTTGTGCCACGTTAGACGCCGAACCTCAAAAGGCCAGGGGCACGGGGGCCAGGTCCCGGCACTTCAAAACTTCGGCGTGGCTCATCGACCTGCTTTGACCGCTGGGGTCGGTCCACGAAGCTTGGCCCATCACCGCGCATCTAAGTTCACGGGCGGCAGCTCCATCCAGACGGCCCTCCCCCCCTTCGTCAACGCGTTAGCTTCAAGGCCACTTAGACTAGCATGCTAAACCATTCCCAAGACAAGTAGGCGCTTGAAATCATCGGGGATCTTCGGGCGTTGCCAAGTCGCCGAGTAAGCACACCAACCAATAGACATACTCTGAGGACGCTTGTCCACATCAGTATTGTTAGTGCATCCTGGGTTTGTCCATCCTCCTAGGTGCGGTAATGTATGCAATAGAACGCTGGGTAGCTGTTCATGCTTAGCTAGTGCATGTACATGTTGGCGGGTATTTGAGGAGACGATGATTTCCTCGTTCGGGCGATTCTGCTTGTAGCCCCCTCGCCGCAGCCACAAGTCAAAAGCATCGCCCTCCGCATTTGGGCAGGCGATGCACGCAGGCGGCGCCCCAGGAAACAATAACATCATGCGGACAAAAGGTCGTCGATGGATCCGACGAGGCTCGGGTCGATGTCGCCAAACTCAAGGAAGTCATTGATGATCCACGGGGCCGAGGTCGCGGCCGCTTGCGATCCTCGCCAGTGCTCGACCAGCACGCAGTAATGTCTCCATGAGAAGCCCAGGCTCGCTGCTGCATCCCATGGGTCCTCCGCTTCCAATGCGCAGCCGTAAATCGCAATCAAAAGCTCGCAGTCGCGCACGAAAGGCGCCGCGTCGCTAACGAGAGAGCGGCTGAAGGTGGAACGGAGCAAACTCGCTCGTCTGATTGAAACGTCGAGCGCGGGTGCCGCATGCGAAGGCATTGGTCAGATCATGACTCCGTTCCACACAGCTCTGTCTCGCCGACTTGGCTTTCCAAAAAAGCACCCCGGGGATGGCGATCGCGGCCTCGCGGCGCCGGCGGGGCAGGCCCCCCCGGCCCGCGGCGGCGGGCGGTAGGCGACGCGCCGGCCGCGAGCAGCGCGCGGAAAAGGCACCGCCAGTAGCCGCGCATGGCGCGGATGAGCCGAAACCACGAGGCCGCAGAACCCGCGGCCGTGATCTGGAGGTACTCCGGCGAGTGAATCTTCAGGAGGGGGGTGGGCGTCTTCGTCTTGGACAAGATGTATATCTCGCTCTGGTCGGCAGCGTCGGGTGCAGCTCCCACGCGGTATGCGTGCGCATGAATCCGAAGAAAACCGATTAGCACCATCACCAGCATGTTCGATGCCCTCAAGTGGAAAGAGGCGCCGCCCTCGTGCTCGTAGGTCGTCAGTTGTGCCTTCTCGGATTCGGCCGCCCTCAAACTGAATGCCTCCAGGTGCGCGCGCATCGCCGACGCCTCCGCTCGGACGGGCGGGGCGAGACAAGTATGTGGGAGTGGCGATTACGATGAACAACTCTGTGGGGATACTCCATTATGGTGCATATCTGCGTCGCTTGGCTTTGTGGAGAAGGTGGCCGCCGCGCTGTATTCGTTCCCGTGCTTCGTCGAGAAGTGCTTGAGAAAAGCCCGCAGCCCCTGGGGTCTGACCAAACGCCAGTCCATGTCTATGTCAAGGGTCGCGTAGGTCATCTGGGAACTTGTGCTCCACTGGCGGGGCAATGCGCGTGGCCAAGAAACCTTTCCCGGGACCGTCCTTCGATAAAACCACATACCGTCCCTCCCTCGATGCAGATCGCGTCAAAAGTGAATTGAAAACTCGCGTCTTGGCGCCAATCTTTGCGCACGTAAGTGCCCTAGCCATTCTATGTGCCACGGCGTGATCTCCCCGTCGCAGTGCCTCCCGCAGCGATGATTGGCGCAACTGCTTCGCAAGTGCCAGGCGTCATCGGCGCATCAGGGTAAGTTGGGCACTGAGGCGTCGCCGACGAGGCAAGATGGCATTGTCAGGTCGAAGCGCATGATCCATTCGTAGCTGAGAGCGGACTCGGAGTAGACGGTATCGTTATTTGATCAGGTCCTGGGTCTCAAGCAAGGTCGAGTACTGACGCGTGAACAGGGGCACAGCTGCAGCATGAACACACTCATGAACAGCGCGTAGTACATATCTGGGGTGCTGGTAGTCTCCGCCACATTGAAGTCATTCTCGTGTGCTATCAACACCTCGCCTAATGTCGTCAAGAATGGGCCTCTATCTTCGCCACGTTGTACAAGTGCGGCCACTCTGTCAAGATCCCACTTGGTATGTTCTCGCTGGAGAGGCGCAGTTGGGGTCTCGACAAACTGCGTGATGCCGACGGGCGTGTGGTCAGGAAACTTCTTGGACACCTGCAGCTTGAGTGCCGTGCGTCTCCATGAACTGCGCGAAGTAATATCAGGCAACAGCCCGCTCGGGCCGATGATGAAATCAATGCGTGTTTTTGTGCCTCGAGGTCCTTGATGTGCGTGACCAGCGCTGAGCTTGCGCATTGAAGGCAAAGGGGCTGTGCGTTCTCAGCAACTCGTGGATGCGCGTGCCCACCTTGCCTTCATGATCAGGGTATGCGGGTCCAACTGCATCATCTGGGCCGTGGGGGTTGCCGAAGCCGTCGTTCAGGTCAACGAAAATAACCACCGATCCGGCGTGTGAGTTTCTGAAAGCGTGGACTTGAGCTCGCTCAAGCTTCGCTCTGCAGGTGGGAGGGGGTACGTTATGTCCGACGTCATGCCCGACGTTTTTCGGTACACGGGGATATTTCCGACGTTTTTAGGTACCTGGGGACAGGGGGGTATAGAAAACTCCATTTCCAGAGCCCTGACCGCCCAAGACAGCCCAAGAAGAAGCCAAGAGAGGCCCCATAGGCCCCCTTGACAATACAAGAGGGCCCCGGATCGCCGAAACATCGCTCGAACCGCCCAAGCTGCCCCGAAGACAGTTCCAGAAACCTCCAAGACGTACCAAGGATCCCTCACGACACTTCCCAAGAATGCCCAAAGACTGGCAAATAGACCCACCCCCTTGGGAAAACGTATATTTTCTGCATATTCGTTTCTTGGGTCGTCACAATGTCCAAGACGGCCCCAGAGCTCCGTATGACACGCCAACAATTCCCCAAGAGGGCTCCAAGACGGCCCCCGAAGGGCCCAAGACGGTCCAGGAGCGCCACAAGACGACCCAAGTCCAGAGCTCAGACCGCACAAGACGGCCCAAGAAAAAACCAAGAGAGGCCCAAGAGGCCCCCGAGACGGTCCAGGAGGGCCCCGACTCGCCGAAACATCGCTCCAAGCCGCCCAAGATGCCCCCAAGACGGCTCCAGAAACCTCCAAGACGTCCCCAGGATCCCCATCATCATCTCGCTCTCACCCCCCCGGATCGGCGGCACTGGCCGGAGGCCAGCCCAATATGGGGTAACTCTGGCTGGCGTATGCTCCAGCTCGTACTCGATCCATTGCAATAGTTTGTATGACGTGATCTGCCATGCAGGTTTAACCTCGGGTGCCTTCGGGATCGTCGGGAAGTACGCCAAAATGAACTTGCGTTGAAGCTTTCCTTGGGAATACGTCACTGCTCCTCCCCGCCCGAGAAGGCCCGCTGGTGGCTGTTCCACTCGGGTATTGTGTGATGTGCGGAATCTCGATCGCTTCAGCAGGTTCACTCCACAGCTCTTGTTCGTGCGCGGCGACGCGTCCCATCCCCATTCTACAACGTGGTGATGACGAGTGAAAGATTTCGTATGTAGACCAGCTCGTTGTCGTCGGATCAAGGTGCCGATGATGCCCACAACATCGGCGGTCCTCAGGTTCGCCGAGATGTTGGCGAGGCGGTCTGGCTTCGCGTGGGCTGGGTTGTACGTCAAGAGCGTCAGCACTGCCCTGCGCAGGGCCGCCATGGTCGGGGGGGCTCTGGAGCGAGTGACATCACCGCACGGCGGCGGGAATCATCCCCAGGCCTGCCAGGGCGCCCTTGAGCCACCGTGGCTTTATTGGACAAGGAACCATTGGATAAGGAATCCAAGGTCTGGAAGAAAGTGGAACTCCAATCGTGGATTGGCCATGGAAATCACCGCCGCCCTCGTCAGATAAGGAATCCTCCAGGGTCTGAAGCCTCCTGGGCACGTTCCTTAACTAACGTCCCCACCGTATGACGCTGGGCTCCACTTCCGCCGTCCGCATCTCGCTCAGCAGCGCCAGCGCCCGCTGCCAATGCTCACTTCTGCGGCACGCGCTCATCCCAGCGTTGTAGCTGATGACGTCGGGCTTCAATTTCGCTCCCCCCATCTCGCTTAGCAGCGCTAGGGCATGCTGCCACTGCTCTCCCTTCTCGCACGCGCTGATCCCGGCGTTGTAGCTGATGACTAGGGCTGACCTGTGGCCTCCTGGCCACGATCTTTGCACAAACTGGCATGTGATTGTGGACATGCTGCCGACAGGCTGAACTGATGATGTGGGACTCGACCCTCGCATCCCGCGCATGCTACTGCGGGCTGCTGCTTGCTGCCGCTGTTGCGTGCTGAGAAAAAACAGTAAAGAAAGAGAGAAAGAGAGAGAGAGAGAGAGGGAGAGGTGAGGAGGGATGAGGGAGAGCCGAAGAGGAGGGGAGAGGCAGGCGCCAGTAGCAAGGAGAGAGAGGCGAGGGACCAAGAGAAAGGCGGAGGGAGCCACACGGAACAAGAGAGCGTGCGAAACAGAGGAGCCAGGAGCCAAGGCCCGGGAGGCAAGGAAGCAGGAGGCTGCGGGGAGGAGCGCGGAGCGTGGGGCCAGGAGCGAGACGGGAGGCACGAGAGGAGGCCAGCACACGTCTCGATGGCGTCGGCGATCGTGTGGTCGAGCATCCGGTCTCAACTTGGGTCGATCATTGGGTGCCCTGGGGTTGATGAACGAACAACACACACCCATACCCATAGGGAGGTCGGAGGGAGAAGGACTGGCTATGGGTATGGGTGCGGGTTGTCGGACCCCTGAGGAGGCTCCCGTTCGAGCGGGGACCCTTATCCGACAACACGCACCCATGGCTCATTCCGTCTCAACTATGGGTATGGGTGCGTGTTGATCGTTCGTAATGGGGTGGCCAGCGCGGCCACAGACCTCGGCGAGAGATCATGCCCTGGAAATCTCCTGGGGGCGGTTTTGGTGGTGTCTCGGGGCCCCTCGGGCGCCTGAGTGGGGCCTCTCGGGGATTTGCCGGGGCTCCT